TTATATTGGCGTCATTAAGTTCGCGTTCTAGTATCAAACACACACTCCGATATTCTTTTCGGAACTTTTTCTTTATAACTGGATGTTGTATTCCGTCTCCTTCATTAATTCCCAATTTTGTATGTATCATCTTGGTCTAGATCCTTAAACTTATTGATATTAGGTCTATATCAGTAGTTTTCGTTAGTTCACCGCCTTTGAAGTTGGCTTTGGCACATTTGTCGATTCCGAACTCCATTCAAATATCTTCACTGAAGGTTCTAACAATAGTGATCAGGTTTTTCTGTTAGTTGTCATCCTTGGCAAACGTTATAAGATCATTAGTATAGAATAGGTGATTCAGTTTGTTATTGTTATGGTCCAGGTTAGGACCAAGGAAGAACAACACGAACACAAGAGTAGAAATAACGAAGGTATATTACACGAAATAATAATACAGGAGGTGGAAGGTGTTAGCATGACTGTCAGTCTGGTTTGGAGTGAACTACTAACGGCTCGACTCGATTCGGTATCTAGCCACCCCCACGAGGGTTGCATGTGGCACAAGGGCGAGTTTAACGTGGGTTTCCTGAGCCCGTAGGCTAGGCCAAAAAATGCCCGTAGAACCCGTATAAACGGGATCGGGTTGGTCAACCTCCCCGAACGAGACTTTGCCCTTTCTAAAAAAGGAAAAAGAAAACATTTGGCACGTAAAATATCTGTAAATAAAGACAAAGAAAAGAACGAAAAAAGAAATAAAAGTTCCCGTTTTGAAAAGAATTAATAGAAAAGAAGAAAAATAAAAGAATGAGAGGAAAAGAAAGAAAGAAAGAAAGAAAGAAAGAAAGAAAGAAAGAAAAGAAAAAAAAAAGAAAAAAAGAATTATAGGAAGAAAGAAAACACAGAGATAAAATGATAAATAGAAAAAGAATAATAGTAGGAAAATTAAGACAGAAAGAAAAAACGAAAGGAAATTCAGAAAAAGAAAGAAAGAGTTTCGTTCTTGAAAATAATTAATAAATGGACGAAGGTAGAATAGGAAAAAGTACAACGAATGAGAAAAGAAAGAAAGAAAGAAAGAAAGAAATAGTTCCCAGCTAGAAAAGAATGAATAAAAATGATTGAGACAAAGAAAGAAAAAAAAAGGAGCGTTTCCAGATTGTAAAAATGAAAAAACGAATGATTGAAAGCAAAAAAAAAAAGAAATTTAGAGATTGCAGAGGAAATAAAGGAAGACAGAAAGAAAGATAGAAATAAAGATAGAAAGATAAAATAAAAGAAAGACAGAAAAAAGATTGTCAGAAGAAATAAAGAAAGGAAAACTGAAAGAAAGACGAAAGACCGTAAGAAAAAAGAAAGACAGAAAGATAAACAGTAAAGCAGACAGATCGAAAAAAGGCACACCTAAAAAAAGAAAGAAAGAAAGATAATCCGAAAGAAAAAAAGAAAGAAAGAAAAAAGAAAAACATAAAGACAGAATGAAAGAAAGATGAACAGAAAGGCAAACAAAAAGAAAGAAAGATAAAAAGTAAGACAGTAAGAAATAAACAAGAAAGAAAGAAAGATAAAATGAAAGAAAGAAAAAAGAAGGGAAAAAGACAGAAAGAAAGAAAAAAGAGAATAACAAAAAAGAAATACAGATATATTCACAGAAATAATGAAAAACGGACAGAAAAAAAGAAAAACAAACAAATAAGAAAGAAAGTATGAAAGACAGAATGAAAGAGACATACAGAAAGACATAGAGAAAGAAAGATAAAAAGGAGAGACAGAAAAATTGACACAAAGACAGAAAGAAATACATACATACAGACAGACAGACAGAAAGAAAGAAAGAAAGAAAGAAAGAATCACTGAGAGAAAGACTGGAATATTTACTGATTGACAGAACGTTAGAGAAAGGCATGAAAGAAAAAAAGAACGATAAAAGGAAAGATAAAAAGAAAGAAATTAAAATTTTTAAAAAGACAGAAAGACAGACAGATAGACAGAAAGACAGACAGAACGAATGGAAGTCAAACAGAAAGAAAAAAGAAAGAGAGAAAAAGACAGAAAGGAAGAAATAAAGTGAGACAGAGAGTAGGAGAGACAGAAAGAAAGAAAGAAAGAAATAACGACGGGCAGATTGACAAACTGACAGAAAGTCAGACAGAGAAAAGAAAGAAAGAAAGACAGAAAAATGAAAGAAAGTTCGATAGAAAGAAAAACAATAAATAAAGAAAGAAACAAAAAGAAAAAGAAAGACAGAAAGACAAACAGTAAAACAGCCAGACAGAAAGAAAAAAATGAGAGAGAGAAAGAAAGAAAATAAAGGGAATAAGAAAAAAGAAAGACAGAAAAAAAAGATATCCTGACATAATGAAAAACGGACAGACAATAAGAAATAAAGACAAACAGAAAGAAAAATAAAGAAATCTGGACAGAAACGATGAAAAAAGAAAGATATACAGAAAATAATGAGGAAAGAATGAAAGAAAGAGAAACAGAAAGAAAGAAAGCACGATAGAAAGAAAGGTAGAAAGTTAAAAAGAAAGACAGACAGAAAGAAAACCAAAGGAACAAAGAAGAAACAAAGAAAGATAAAAAGAAAGACAAACAGGAGGAAAGAAATACAGAGAGAGAGACGAAAAGAAAGATAGAAAGAAAGAAAAATGCGCAGAAAAACAGACAGGTGGTCAGAGAGACCGAAAATCAGACAGACAGAAATAAATAAATAAGTAAAGAAAGAAAGAAAGAACGATCGAAAGAAAGAAAGATAAAAAAAATACAGACAGAAATAAATACATAAAGAAAGAAAGAGCAAAAGATAAAAAGACAGACAGAAAGACAGACAGAAAGAGAAAACTAAAAAAGAATGACAGAAGGACAGATAGACAGAAAGAAAGAAAGAAAAAAGACAGCCAGAAAGATAGACATCAACCAGGTAGAAAGAAAGAAAGAAAGAAAGAAAGAAAGAGGGCAAGACACACAAAAATAATGAATGAAAGATTGACTGACAGACTGAAAGACAGAGTGAAAGACAGACAGAAAGACAAAGTGACATAAAGACCGACAGAGTGAAAGAAAGAAAGACAAACGAAAGCATGTAATAAAAGACAAACAGAAAGAAAAACAGATAAAAAGACAGAAACCAATAACGAAAAAAGAAAGACAGAAGGACAAAGAAAAAGAAAGAAATAAAAAAAAGAAAGAAAGAAAAAAAGGAATAAAAAGAGACAGACGGATAGAAAGGGAGAAACAAAGAACTTAATAAAGCAAGAAAAAAGAACGGCAGAAACACAGAAATATACTCAGACAGACAGACAGACCAACAGAAAGAAAGAAAGAAAGTCAAAACGAAAAAAAGAATGTCAGAAAGACAGACCGAAAGACAGAAAGAAAGAAAGAAAGTAAACAGAAACAAAAAGATAGGTAAACAGACAGAAAGACAAGCAGACAGAAAGAATGATAGATTAAATGAAAAAAGAAAGAAAAATAGAAATAGTGAAAAGAAAGAAAGAAAAGAGATGGGAAAAAAAGACAGACAGACAGAAACAAAGAAAGAAAAACAAACCCTAGACAGACAGGGAGCAAGACAGAACTCTATAAATAATGACACAAAGAAAAAAGAATGACAGAAAATATAGATAGGCAGAAAAAAAAAGGCAGACCGTAAGACAGACAGAGCAACAGAAAGATAGAAAGAAAGACAGTGCGACAGAGAGAAAAAGGGAAGAAAAAACAAAGAAAAAGGACTGACAGTGAGACAGACAGAAAGATTGACAGCAAACAGAAAGAAATAAAAGACAGACTTAAAGACAGAAAGAAAAACAGAAAGACGGAAATCAATAACGAAAAAGACAGACTGAAAGACAGACTGATAAACAGAAAGAAAGACAGTAAAAAATGAAGAAAAAAGAAAGAAAAAGGACTGACAGATAGTGACAGACAGAAAAATTGACTGCAAACAGAAAGTTAGAAAGAAATAAAGTCAGACAGACTTAAAGAAAGAAAGAAAAAAAGACTGTAAGAATGAAATAAAGAAGAAAGACAGAAATAAAGAAAGAAGACGAGGGTAAAGAAAAAATCGAGTAAAACAACAGAGAGAATCCAAAATGTTTAGAATAAAAAGATGAAGTTAAAAAAGGAAATGAGCGACACGAGAAAAATGTTAATAATTTAATAAGTCGCTCCATCTTTGTACAGGAACGAGATCTTTTCACTGGTGACAGTGCGGGGAGGGTTTATAGACTAGCGTATTGATCTGCTGATCGATTAACTTGCGTCTACAATACTTGAAAATAAGTTCTTTTGTTACACAATGGAAGGAATGGCTTCTCGAGTTTGCTTTATATATTCATAAAGTAGAATTTTACAAAGACACCAGGGCAAATCAATACACCCGGAAAGCAGAGGGGACGAATATTTGAAACACTTTAATGAAATTTGTTGATTGTTGCATAATTTAAATTTATCCATTGCCAAATTTTGTTTAGTGGCAGAGTTCTTGTAAATAGTCCATTTGGTCGGGTGATGTGATGTGCAGCTGATGTATATTTTAATAGTTTCATTTCATCTTAAAATAGTAATTATTCAATACAAAAATGCCATTTATTTTTGTAGTATGGTTGAATGTTGAAATTCCTTGTTGTGTTTAAGATACGGTCAGAAACGCGATGACCGATTTGTTAAGATTAACGTAAACAAATTTTTGCACTTACTCGTATGTTAGTGACGTTTTCATGAAATCTGTCTGGCAAACCAAAATTTTACATAACATCTGAACACACGGACTATGTCCGAAGAAGTGTTTTAAGCTATTTTTATCAAGTTGCTGAGACATAACAAGATATAAAGTGAACAGTTATAGCGTCTTTTTACGCTCGTAAAATCAGCTATTTTAAAACTGTCTTTTAAAATAATCTGTTTTTTTTATGTTGTTGCATATGTTGTATAATATACCCGTGCCGTAAAAATTGACTTCAGTTAACAAAAGATTATTTACTCTATGAATTCTGTTTTGTATATTTCTTGCATTCCTTATGGCGCCAGTATTCTCATTCCACCTTCTGTTGCCTTGCTCTTCAGTTTCTTTTAGAAGACTTTCTTCCATTCGCATTCTCATGGTTTCCTTCCTTGTTCCAGATCGTTCCTCTGTTTCATTTTGAATTATTTCAGCTACACCTTCTCTCATAGCATCACTTTTTACATTAGCTTCCTCCTCTATTTCATATCCTCTTCTTTGTGCTTCTATCTCCCCCCCCTCTCTCTCTCTCTCTCTCTCTCTCTCAGGTTAGCTCTCCTATTACCCTCTTCTTATGTCTCATTAGTTCCCCTCTGAGCCTCGCATCTCCTGGCTTGTGTTCTTATCACTTCACGGCGTTACTACGATGCCTGTAAATATTTTTGCCTATCAGTCTCCCGTTCGCCAAGCCTTTATCTGATTCTGAGATAGGCGTAATCGCTGCCTTCTTTCTCGCTCTCGTTCTAATCTCCATCTTTCTTCAAGGGAATTTTACACTTTTTATGATGTTCACTGGACAAAATTATGTTGTTGCGTATGTTGTATAGTATAGCCCTGCTGTCAAAAATGACGGTTTATTTTTTACCCGCCGCATTTATATTATCGATAATTGACTTCAGTGAACAAAAGATTATTTTCTCTATGAATTGTGTTATGTACATTTCTTAGGTTTTTCATGGCGCCAATATTCTCATTCCACGTTCTATTGCCTTGCTCTTCAGTTTCTTTTAGAAGATGTTCTTCCATTCGTATTCTCATGGTTTCACTCCTTGTGCTAGATTCTTCCTCTGTTTCATTTTGAATCATTTCAGCTACACCTTCTCTCATATCAGCACTTTTACATTAGCTTCCTCCTCTATTTCATGTACTCTTCTTTGTGTTTCTCTCTCTCTCTCTCTCTCTCTCTCTCTCTCTCTCTCTCTCGTAGGTTGGCTCTCCTTTTAAGGTCTTCTTCTGTCTCAATAGTTCCCCTCTGAACTTCACGTTTCCTGTCTTGTTCTCTTATTAAATCACGGTGTTTCTACGATAGCTGTGAAATATCTTTGCTTATCAGCCTCCCGTCATGCCTTTAATTGATCCTGAGATAGGCGTAATCGCCGCCTTCTTTTTCTCTCTCGTTCTAAACTCTATTCATCTAGAGAATTTTCTATTTTATGATGTTTTGATTTGATAATTGATAACAAAAATTCTTTATATTATCTAAAGATATCAGGAAATATAAAAATATCTCCTTTTATGAAGAAAATATAAAGTTATCTTTTTTTATCAAATGGGACAGGAAATATATAAATAAATACACAATGATGATTATTATATGGTCTAATGATTATTACCGAAAAGTATTCTCATGATTTCTTTTCTTGCGCTAGATTCTTCTTATGTTTCAATTTGTCTTCTTTGTATAGATCTCAAACTTTCATCTCTTCTTCTGTCTCATTAGTTCGCCTCTGAGACTCACCTTTCCTGGTTGTGTTCTTATTAATTCACGGCCTTACTTCGATGCCTGTGAATATCTTTGCGCATCAGCCTACAGCCATGCCTGTATCTGATCCTGAATTAGGTGTAATCGTTGCCTTCTTTCTTGGTCTCGTACTAATCACCTTGTTTCTTAAAGGGAATGTTACAGTTTTATGATGTTCTCTGGACAATTTTTTTCTTAAATACACAAAACTATGTAAAACAGGGAAGTATTTATATTTAATTCTACATTTATAGAGCAAGTTTGATTTGAAGTTTGGATACCAATGCAAAATGAAATTTTATTTAAATAATATGAGTACTTTTAATTACGCCGACAATATTAATACTATTTTTTCTAAGTTATTCACTTACATGTTTAGTGGGTAAAAGTGAATATAGGATATCATAATTCACATATTCTGATAAAATATATAATGACTGATAAAGGTTATGCGGAAATGTTAATAAAAAACTCCAGTTATATATTTGTTTGAAGGCAATTGTTACTTGTAAATAAATGCTTATTATGACCGCTTGTATTTCAGTCAGTCTTATTTGGATGGGACAGAAATTACATTAATTGATTATTATTATTATTATTATTATTATACTATTTGGTATTTAAACAGATTCACTTAAAAAGCCATCTATGTGCTATCATGTCATGTTCAAAAGATGGCTAATGTATAGATTGACTCTCTCTCGGTCAATCAAAATCAGTAACAGATCATAAATTCATGTCTAATTCAGATGTCACCTTTGTCTTACAAATTGAGTCGGCTAAGGTACACTTTATGTTAAAACGTGTTAATTTGAACATCAGAAAGAAAGAAAAAGATGTAAAGTTTCGTGCTAGAGAAAGAGAGAGATTGGGAACGGTTAATCTGTCTTTACTTGGCGATTCATCACATATTTATACCAACTAATCAAGAAATCATAGACAAAAAAAGTCGAATAGTTTTAATTTCATCCTCGTTTTGATATATGCTCTTTTGAAATGATTTGTAAAGATTGACAACTGGGATCGATCCTATTCGAGGGTATCAAGTTAATTTTGTTTTATTAGATCTCCCTTTCAAAGTTTATTTCATGTACACGTGCAAAGACTATCTGCGATTACAGTTATTATTATTATTATTATTATTATTATTTGATTTCTGGACTATACTCATTTATTTCTGGGTCCTAACCAGAGACCTAAGGTCATATATGGTATCATGAAATTTTCCACTGAGCATTTTTGAAGAAAAAAAAGTAAGGACGCCCTCACCAAAAAAAGCGCACTAAGATCACACATATTTTATAACGCCCTTACAATCAGTACAGCTTTTTGTATTTCTTTTAACCGTGAGCTACCAGGAATCCTTTCAGTAAGTTTATCGGAATCTTTTCCAATCAATCCGAGGTTTGCAGCTACAAATGAAATTGTTGATGCTCTCATGTGTGACATTTTTTTGAGATTTCGATTTCAAGGTCCTTATAATTTGATTGTTTTTGAAGATCTTCAAAGATACATTTGTCTTTGCCGATTTCATGGCGAGTAGCTTTAATTGTTCTGGCTGTGTGTATTTTAAAGTCCCATAAAATTGTTACAGATCCTATCTTCAGGTTGTGTTCATACCAATTTCTTGCAGCTTCTTTTCTGTAAGTGTTGCACATTTTCCAGTGCATATATTGGCCCACGCTGCCGTTTTATATTCAGTGGTGCCAATACCGCGCAACCTGATACAAGATGGTCAATTGTTTATTATTATCATCATTATTATTATTATTATTGTTGTTGTTGTTGTTGTTGTTGAGTTTTATTATTATTACTATTATTATTATTACATGATCGTTTCATTAAGTACTCGTGAATAAATGCACTTTATGCAATTTCTTATCAGATGTAACAGCAATTTAATATATATAGACATTTAAACGTGTTCATTTCAGTATCTGTCTATATTTCTGAGATGAGGTATTACGTACACTATTTACATTGTTCGGACTATCGTCTTTATCTTTGTTGCCATATTTATCAAAACGTTTCGACCGTTGTACGCTCTGCCCTTCTTCAGGTGGTTGAAATTTCGAACTGAACTTTTTATTTCGCTCGCTGGGGTAGACTGTTCTAGTTCCACATGCCATGTCTAATGGATGCCAGTTATCAGTTATCTCCTGTTAATTCCCCTCTCCAATTTCTCCACTTCCTTAACCAAGTATTGAACTTATACTCTTTGAGTCCTGTCAGTGGATCTAACTAACGCATGTCTCCACTGTGTCATGTGCCCTTTCAGCCTAATGAATTTCATTCACTGTATTATTATGAAAAAGAACTGTAATTTAATTGACATTGAACGAGGCCAGATTGTTGGTGCCAGACGTATTTCAAAACCTTCTGATCTACTAGTATGTGTACTCTCAACCATCTCTTGTGTTTATAGAGAATAGTTAGATAAAATAATTTCAGTGTATGTCATTTCTATGAACGGAAGTCATTTGTTGATAAAAGAGCTGGGAGAAGATTAGTTTAAGCTGATAGAATGGTAACAGTGGCTCAAATAACCACTCTTCACTACCATCATCATGGCGTTTGTTTTTGTATAGAGATATGTTATTGGTTGTTTTAGATTTATAGATAATATTAAACGATATTGTTGGGTTAGTTCATTATTGTTAAGGAGGGGGTTGTAACCTATTCAAATCATCTGATATAAGAAATATCTTAATTAACAACACCAAAGTCCTCTATGAAAACAGCTGCAAAAACGACTACAAATTCTGGAAGATATCCTTATCAAAAACTAAAACTAAACATAAATAAAATAGCATTTAATACTGGCAGAAACATATTAAATATATTTAATAACTAATCTTCCAATAAAATATTCAATCCCCTCTTTGCAAATATTGAACTGACCCAATAATGTCGGCTAATATTATCTATCAACCTAAAACAACCAATAACATATCACCTAACAAAAGCAAAATCCATGTTGACAGTTGAGGATAACCCTAAGCGCTCGACAGAAAGCTATAGACTGAGATCCTGTGAGCCCAAACGTTAAGAAACATGCGAGGATGCAAGAAAAAGCTGAAAAAAAAGATCATCAAGCGAAAGAGATCCGTAGTTTTTAATAACACATGCCTTCATAACGACATTCTGCTAAAATACCCCCCCCACACACACACACATACATACATAATTTCAGTGTCCTCTTTCCTTTGTCTGCATGTGTAATCACGTCAACATAAACAACACTTCTGATGACATCCCAAAAGATGAAACGCGTCACACAAACGTTTTTTTTGCACTTTGTCATTAATAAATTTTCTAATACAAACACACACACGTATATATATATATAGATATATATAGATATATGTATGTATGTATGTATGTATGTATGTATGTATAATCTTCTAATAAAAGACATCAATCCCCTCCTTATCAATAATGAACTAACCCAATTATATCGTCTGATGTTATCTACAAAACTAAAACAACCAATAACATATCTCTAAGCAAAAACAAAAGCCATCATGGCGGTTGAGGACAACCGAACGTGCTTGGAAGGAAACTATAAACAAGGATCCTACTTTAACTACCTGGATCCAAACATTAAGGAACTTCCGAGGAAGCAAGCAAAAACTGAGAAAAAGATCATCATGCGGACGACTTCCGTAGTCCTTAATAACACATGCCTTAATAACGACATGCAGCCAAAACACACACACGCGCACACGCATATATATATATATATATATATATATATATATATATATAGAGAGAGAGAGAGAGGGGGGGGAAATGGGTTAATTTTCACATATTTTTACTTCTAATCTATTTTATTTAAAAGTTATTTTTATGGATACTCATATTCGAATATTTTATACAACTACATCTACCGGCCCGAATATTCGAGAAAACTTATCTGAAAAATATGCGTCCTTCATCAAAGTTCGAACCGTCATTGGATCTGACCTGCCTAACCGCTCAGCCATTTAGAACTGACGGTCAAAAACATACCGAATAGTGCATTTGGACACACACAGTCTATGCCACTTACAGAAACATAGGGGATATTTTTTCTGACAAGATTTTACGAATATTCAGGCCTGTGTCTGTAGTTAGATAAAAACACACTATTTAATTAAAAAAAAACAAAAAAAAAACAACTTCTACTCGAATATGAATATCCATCAAAAATAACGATTAAACAAAAGAAATTAAAAATAAAAATATTTCGGATTTCATCCATTTTCCTAAAGATAAATTGTCTTTGGTTACATTAGAATACGAAACAGAGGAGATATGGATGTTTCGAGAATCGATTCTCAAAAGCATTATTCTGATTTTGTTTGACGATAAGTTCTACGTGGCCGAGTGATTAGGATCGTCAAATTTAATGACAGTTCCCCATAGGAGATAAAGGTCGAATCCTGCCGGAAGATGCATATTTTTCTGACAAGATTTCTAGAAAATTCAGACCGGTAGATTTAATTGGATAAAATATGCTGATTAATTTAAAAAACAGAGCTTTTACTCGAATATGAGTAGCCATAGAAAATATCGTTTAAAAGTTATATATTTTTTGTAGAGATTGCCAATTTTTTCCCTTAAGTAATAGCTAATTTATGAAATAAAATTAACATATTTATATTTGATCATAAATAAAATAATTTACGAATACATAATTAGCTTCTAATATATTCATTTTAACATTACCATATATGGACTCAATTAGTAAATAAATTAAATATAATATCTTAAGTCGTTACGAATAAAAATATCAATATTGAAAATGTGACTAAATAATATTTGAATGCCCCTATTGAAAAAAATTGTAATTAAAATTTATATAAAAAAGGAAGTTTCAGGCAATAGACAGACACCCACCTCCCGCATCTTAACTTTACCGACTTTGTGGTTATAATACATTAGAAAAATTTAGTTTTAATCTTAACACCCCTAAAATAAAAAAAAAAGATTGAATTTTTCCTTAACCCCAACATCTCAAAATATCAAATTTCCTGGACGTATAAATTAAGTAAATCAATTTCTAAAAGGTTTTTCTTAGCATCGCTTGATAATAGTATTTGTACTTTGTATTTTAAGTTTAATTTTTATGATTGAATTTGAATTGAAATTTCAGTTTTGAAACATGGAAATTTCAGTGTTGCGATAATAATATATTTTTTAAAAAGACAATTATATACGCCCAGTTTCGTTGTTTATATCACTGCTATAAACAACGAAAAATGAGCGTGGACGTTATAACTTTACAGTGGAGTAATGGATAGAGGCTCGGATTGAGGAATCGGAGAGGCGATTTCGATTTCCAGTCGAATCCATTACGTTCACTTATGTGCTAATATGCTTGGGAAAGGTATGAATTCTCTTCTCCTCCTCCTCCTAGCTATGGTTAAATAGCAGAACAGACCTGGTTCATATAGATTTGGATGGCAACTGGTCTACCGCAGAAATAAATGGCAACATACTGCTGGAAAAAATATGCATCGTCAGTCATGTATCGAAAGATACATGATCGCGTAAGCGT